AATAAATACGGTATATAAATATTCTAAAACAAAAAAATTTGTTATAAAGTCAAAATTTGAAGAACTAATGGACCCGCCATACGTGCAAGTTTATAAAAAATGTATCAATACAAAAGATAAAAGCATTAACAACAGCTCTGCTTGAAACTTTAAATTTTTATACCACCAGAGTTTTATTTAAAACTGTACTTTGTCTCGCTTCATCCAAGATTATGAGCAGGAAAAAATAATCTCCGGTCGGTCCGCAGTGCATTATGGGATATGGCGGACCGAGAAGGATCCATCGGACCCTTCCCTCAAATCAGAGCTAAACGAAGACACATTTGTTGGCTGCATCAAAGGAGTCTTTGAATTTGAACAGCCTCCATTGCGGCACAGTGAGCGGACGACAAATTCGGCCTTCGGAGGACGCAGCCCCTGAATTCAGACACAGCGCTAAACTCAGTTCATATTTTAGTCCTAAACAAAAACCTCGGTCCCCTACGGCATTTCTCCCAATGGGGACCATGCCTTTGTCCTCATAAGGAACAGTGGGTCCACACCAGCCTGTGTGTACCGGGAAAATGGTCAAAAATCATCCCCACCAGGTAGCAAAAACATGCACACACACACACGTTTGCACAGCTATCCATTTGGGGACATTCCTCTGACTTCCAAAACATTTCTACAGCCTAACCCTGACCACAAACCCTAAGGTTAACCTCACTTGACCCTAAAACTCAACCCAATTCACACCTTGGTCCTAAACCCAACCCCCAACCCACCAAAGGCATTTAAACCAAATGGGGACTCGACTTTTGTCCCCAAATGCACCAGTTGTCCCCAAATCTTGGCATTTTGTCTTGAAATTGCCCCCAAATGTCACCAGAAACAAACCCACACACGCGCACACACAGATTTCCAGAAGCCAGGGAAACTGTCAGTGAGCGGATCCACTTGTCAGCAGTCATCCGTCTGTCTCTCGTCATAAACAATGTCCCATATTCACTGCTGCAGATGCCTCCTGACACAGATGAGTAACACACACATATCTGTGACACCCAGCGGCAAAACACACACAACCCCACTGTATGTAATGTGTAGCGACCATTGTGCCAAAAGGCTGGTTGCTCCTTTTGATTGACTGGGCAGACGTTCTGAGCCAGTTGAGACTCTTCATCGTCCCGTGAGTTAAAGCATCATGGTGGATGTGGGCCTGAATGCTCCTTTTGTTTCGTTGAAGAACTTCCCCGTTCAGTGATAAAGTTACTGTCAGACCACAGAGTCTGGAAACTATTTTCTTCAATAAAGTCCATAATAATTGGTACAAAAATATTTTATGTGCAATTTTTGCTTAAGGATGGAATTAGAGAAAGGGATTTTTAGACTATAAACAAGGTTTTAGGTGAAATTTTAAGGGTGAAAATGCAGCTGCTGCTTTAAAATCATTATATTTTGCAACAATCTTAGCTAAAAGTACTAACATTTTGATGTATTTGACTCATTCTGATAAAGCTGCACTTTTTAATGTACTGAATGTTTCGTTTCCAAGCTAAATACGCAACAAGCATTTGGAATARGGGTGTTGCAGTGCGTATGCATTGGCACAAATAATCATTTCAACAGTGACAAACAAAAAAAAAATGATCAAACAGTATATCTCTAAATAAGCAGATGTCTTTTTAGCAAATGTTTTTGAGGATTTGATGGCCACATTGGGCTAGGTTATTCAAAATGAAAACAGCATCTGCGAACGTTGGCTGCTTGGTGTGGAAAATCTTGGCTGGTATGCAACCCCTAAAACGATTTCCTGTTTTCCAAAGAGAAGGAGAACAAACTCATAAGTAAACTCCTGATGGTGTGCATTAGTATATAAATATATGCAACTAAATATGCATTAAGAGACAAGAGGGGGGAAAAAAGAGGAAATTCGGTGTGAAAAAGTTGTGCAACTTGTTGGTCTGAGCSACCTAACATTTTATTTACTGCCTCTGTGCTGTGAGGCTGTGAGAGCCAAGTCAAACTACTCAGCAGAATACAACATGTTTTAAGGCTATTAATAGACCAGCTACTGTAAACCAAGAAGAGAACAACACGCACACGTAAACACTACACCACTTTTACCATTTAATAACTAAAATGGAGTGGAATAATTACATTTTGTTTTAAATAATACTTGTCAGCATTCAGAAATATTTAGAAGTCAGCAAGAGGAGATCAAATTTCAGCACGTCGTGTCGTCACGAGTGACATGTTGGCATTTATTTCTGGTGTCTGCCTCGTCCTGTCTGCTAACAATTAATGATTACCAGTCTGCATCTCTCTGCTGAGAACCAACCTGTCTTTTTCTATCTCCTCCTATCTGTTTCCAATCTCCCCTGGTCACAGTCAGACATACAAGAAGTGTGTAACTCAGCCAGATGCATTTTATCTCTGCACCACCTGGGTTAGTGTTTAACCAGTCCGAAAATCTCACAGCAGCTTTTTTCCAAACACTGTAGTTCACACAATGAGCTCTAGCTAAAGAAAAACTTGTAAGATTGATGCAAAAGATGTATTGTCTTGATTGGTTTGATTTGTGTCTTTAACCTTCTGGTTCCAGTTTTGACTTCAATGCACTGGTTGCCTTTTCATTTTAGGATTCATTTTAAGATCATTTTGTTTGTTTTTAAATCTTTGAATAGTTTGGACCCCCCCACCCCCGAACTATCTCATTTACATCATCCTTCCTGTTCACTCAGGTCAGCAGACCAGCTTCTCCTGGATGTGCCGAGGACGCGGCGTAAACTCAGAGGAGACAGAGCTTTTTTCTGTGGCAACTCCAAGGCTTTGGAACTCACTGCCCATGTTACACATTAGGCTGCTTCAAGTGCCCGTGACATCAATATTTTGTAATAAATATAAATGTATTTTTGGAAAGGTAACATTGATAACATACTGCAAAAAAAAGATTTCACGCCACTGAGATGAACAGTTGTTGAGATATTTGCATGTTCAGTGACAGGAAGTGATGTCAAAGGCGAATGAATGTCTGAATGCAAACAGAGGATTGTTTAGAAAATAGATCAATATTTGCGTTTTGACTCCCACCACCCACTGGAACACAAGTTAGGAGTGATCAGGACTCTGTACCACAGAGCAGACAGTGTTCCTAC